AGGTGTGCTAAAACATATAACCAGCTTGAACATAAAATGCTGCTTAAAGCTAAAACTGAAAATATGCAGATGTAGAGAAAAGGAGCTGCAAGGTTGAGTTAAAACCAAGGTTTGTTGTGACAAGAGGAGTACTTGGTGTGATGGGAAACAGAAATTTTTAGAACACAATTTGACAACAACTGGGTTCATGGTTAGAACACAATGTCACAACAACAGCTGGGTTCGATCGAAACGGGATGAGAAACCAACGGTGTAGATGTAGTTGCCAAAATGTATGTGTGTGAACAAATGAAGTCTGTATCGCTTGATATGTACCACCTGGATGTGTGTTAATAAAACGAGCCTGAGTTTGAGGAGAATTCAGAATTCAGCAGTCGATCCTCTGACTCGCCGCTGGATCCTCCCTGTGCACAGGTGAACTCGAGCAAAGACTTTTGTCTTTTCTTTATACTTTGTGAAAGTTCTTCTTGATAGTGTCGAAGTTGATCAACGAATCCGGGGTGGTAAAACCTTACCACGACAGTACACAGACTGTCAGGTCCAGCCTGCGGTGGAAATCGGACAGTTCCGCTTCTGTAACAAGGTCAGTTAGTCACTCATAGCCAGGTAGATGAGGGACTGGCCTGCACGATGGTTGGGATTCGCTGGTTTAGTGTACTATTAATGTATTGGGATTTGTTTTGGGTTAACTGCCAAACTAACTGTCTTGAAAAGTTGTGAAGAGGGGTTCACTGGCTTTCCACAGGCTGAATCGTCTTATGTGGATGAGTACCCACCACTGCCAGCCTACCAGTTTGATGAGCCGGGAAATAAGGTGTTTATAGTGCAGGTGAAAGGTCTTCCATGGTCGTGCTTAGCACAGGACTTTATGGAGTTTTTTTTTGGGTGAGATCACAGTTGAGCTGGTCAGTCTGTAAAGCATTAATTTGCTACCACATGTAGATTTTTAAGCCTTAAGTTAGCTAAAAGTAATTATTGTTTCATTTTATAAATGCAGAGTGCAGAATCCGTGATGGGCTGAGTGGAATCCACCTGACTGTGGACAGACTGGGGAGGCCGTCAGGACGAGCCTTCATTGTGTCATGTCTGTCTGTTTCTTTTTCCTGTTGTCTTTGTGGGGTTATCTGTGGGATCACACTCACCTGTTGGTAATTAGCTTCACTTGTGTCACCTGGTGCTCCCTGTGTATATATACCCCTCTCTCTCACTCTGTCGTGGTTGGATCACTGTGACTGTGACTGTGACTGTGACTGTGACTGAGACTGAGACTGAGACTGAGACTGATACTGATACTGATCATTGTAGTTGGATCGTTGTTCAGTTTGTTCTGTCAGGCTGTTCGTGTTCGTGAGTTTCCTGTTCTGTGTTTCCTCGTGTTCCGTGTTACAAAGAGAATTCCATGCCTGGTAGTTCTTCGTGTTTCGTTAATTTGGACTTTGTAAATAAAACTACCTGCACCAGAAAGAGTCTCACCAGTACTGCATTTGGGTCCTGCCTGCTTCCTGCGATGCCCGCACGTGACAGAATGATCCAACCACGACTGGACCCAGCGTACTGGGAGGCTCTCCTGGCGGATTTCGGTGCCACGCAGCGAGAATGGGAGAG